GTCTCAACTGCTTTGAAATGCCCCGTCTCGACTGCTTTGAAATGCCCCGTCTAGACTGCTTTCAAATGCCCCATCTCGACTGCTTTGAAATGCCCCGTCTAGACTGCTTTCAAATGCCCCATCTCGACTGCTTTGAATTGCCCCGTCTGGGATGCTTTCAATTGCCCCATCTGGGATGCTTTGAATTGCCCCATCTCGACTGCTTTGAATTGCCCCATCTGGGCTGCTTTGAAATGCCCCATCTAGACTGCTTTGAATTGCCCCATCTGGGATGCTTTGAATTGCCCCATCTGGGATGCTTTGAATTGCCCCATCTGGGATGCTTTCAATTGCCCCATCTGGGATGCTTTGAAATGCCCCATCTAGACTGCTTTGAAATGCCCCATCCAGACTGCTTAGAATCGCCCCATCTAGACTGCTTAGAATCGCCCCATCTAGACTGCTTTGTATTGCTTGCATCAAATAAGTATCCATGAAATTTGGAAAATTGTAATTTTACTGAGCCAAACATGTTCATTCTTTATAGATAAGTTATAAAAACTGTCACATGCATATGCAAATGCAAATAATAAAGTACCAGTAAAGACAGCTTGCATGAACCAAAATAAGATTACAGCACTTTACAAAGACATCAAAGGCAATTATTTTTGTGCCCTTTTAAAAATACAAATATTAAGTTAAACTTTATTATACAATTTTATCAAATTGAGATTACTGTACTTACTACATTAGCCTTACTAGTATGTAAACTGATCAAGCACACTACACTTGTGTGCTCGTTGATTACAGAGGCGCTTCTAATGGTCTAAATACAGTATTTATAGCATTATGTGTATATAGCTAGCATCAATGTGAATTCTGAAAATTTACAATTTTCAATGGTACTGAAATTGTAAAACAATATTCTTACATTAGGATTTATATATTTCTAAATCATACTTTTCATTTTCAAATTCACACAGCTTTTTGACAGCTGATGAAAAACAAACTGGTATAAAACTGATGATCCAAATCAAGTCTCTAATAGATCCAGTGTGGGGGTTAGTTGTAGTGGTTAAACACTAAAAATAACATGGTGGTTCATTTGTTTACATCGGCCAGTCAATATTGTAAATACATTTCCTTAAAAAAAATGACACGAGCAGTTACTATAAAAAAAGTCCGCAACAAACTGATCAAATATCTGCCTGCAAGTCACATAATGTTGACAAAAACAAATGCTTTTGTAAATTCATAAACAGTTTCTATTATTTTCATTACTATAAATATTTATTTTGAAACTGCCTAAATATTTTGAAAATATTAGGTTTTCATCTTTATCAAGTAAGTTACAAAAGTTTGTAGTGAAAAAGTTTAGCTATTGCTGGTAGTTCACAGAAGCCCAGACTTATATTGTTGGGCAAATAATTCAATCCATCATCTCCTCCAGGAATCGTGTTTGAAATTTAACTTTCTTTTCCGAACTACTTCCATTGAACTGCAATGAAAACAAGCACAATCGTTATCAAGGGTTCATAAACCAAAGGGCATGCATTGGCCCTTATATAAAACTAAATGGTTCACCCCTCTACACTCAGAGATTAAAATAAATGTTGATATTTTTCAGAGAAAACAGGTCTATGTAAACATCCTCAAATTATCGATATCATAGTGCACAAATGATGCCACAAAACATTACCGTAAATATTCAAATTTAAGTGTCACTTTTATAATATTTAAATCTTTCCTGATGCCTAAATTAGAGCAGAATTTGTTTTTGGAGTTGGTTTGAACACCTACCTATTCAAAAATACAATGTTTTATTGTGACCAGCATGAATGGTCAACAAAAATAAGCTGTTATCGATGCTTTTGTGCATGGAAAAAAACTAACATCATTTTGCGTAACCCAAAACATTCACTTGCAATAAAACTTACTGTAAAATCTGTATTAGAAACCGCGGCTTCTATTAAAATGGTACAATCCAATAGAGGGGGTGCGGCTTCTATTAGAGCATCTACACATATGAGAAATGATGATTTTTTGGTTCCCAATTGTTTAAAAAGAATGGGTGCGACTTCTATTACGGGTGTGGCTTCTACCGGTAATACAGATTTTACGGCAGTTGAATTTTACTTACATTGCATGAAAACCAACAAGTAAATTATTTTTTACATAATCACAATCAAGCAGTAAATAACATTTGTGTCATCTTGGAAACAAGTTATCCCCCTGTGAAATAACATGGCCGGATTACAATATTGTAATCATTTACTACTAAGCAATGCATTCATTTTTATTTGAAACTTATTCTATACTTTTCATTACCAACAAAGTTAAAGACAAAGCACATTATATTAAATTCAGAGTATTTGTTGTTATCAAATGGATATTCCGAACATTTTTGTATCAGAAAAGTATCACAGTTTGAGGTTGAAACTGTCTCTTTTTTGTTTCCCATGCTCAATAACATTCTATGGCTCCAATGCATGTATGGCTTTACTTTTCAAATACCTCACTGGAGGTTCTCCTAGCTTGTCCTTCAATCTACTAACATTCTTAATGTACAATATAAAATCCTACCTCATCCTTTGAACCAAGATCTCGTTTCTGGTATCGTTCTTCTTTACTGTCCAGAGTTTCATGTTTCATATATTCCTGTAGTTGCATTTTCCTTGCACAATGTCTTGCAAAGATCTCCTGAAAAGTTCCTTTTGGAGGAGAATCCAGCAGTAACGAAAGTCTACTCTCAGTATAGTCTTTGTTCTCGTTGCATTCAGACTCAGATTCAGAGTCATTATTTTCATCAGTATTCACACTTTCTTGGGTCAGCTGACTGCTTGGGGTCAGCTGACTGCTTGGGGTCAGCTGACTGCTTGAGGTCAGCTGACTGCTTGAGGTCAGCTGACTGCTTGAGGTCAGCTGACTATCTTGGGTATCTTCTTCCACACTTGCAAAGCTTGAATTCTGGCTACACTCTGAATTTGATCGAGAGTTCCATTGGATGAGATCAGACGATTTGACGGGAGACACACAAACACTAATTTTATGACTTAGTTCTTTTCCGTGTGCACGCCTCTGAGGTGACAGTGATGATTGGATGGGAGAAACATGCACATGATCAATGCGAGAAGACTTGGCACCAGTTGTATCAAAGATATCCCAAACTGTTTTTTCCTCTCCGGGTTGTATCAACGCCACAGATGCCTCTGTAGGACTTGTGCACACACTTATTTTGGGTCTGACGGACACCTTGGTTGTCTGTGAATTGTTGTTGTTGTTACTTTTCGATTTGGGTGTAGCCGAAAAACTGCAATCTACGAGGGTCACACTGACGTTAGTATCCACGGGCGTCCCGTTGACCAATAGACGAGGACTCAGTCCCAAAGCAGACCCGGGTGATTGCATTTTTTTAACTGGAGTGTTTATTATAGCATAATTCAGCGACTGATCTGTGCATTTAATCCTACTTGGTGAAGGATCTTTGTGAATAACCTGCTTAGGTGATGGGGTGATATTAATATGAGGTGGTTTACTACGCAAGGTGGTTGCAGCATGATTCAATCTACTGAGTCTAAAAGGCTTCACGGAAAGTTGTTTGTTATCTCGTTTAGGTGTTTTATTTATCTTTTGCATCGCAGGGCTTTGCAAAACAGGCTCGAAGATAATGTTGAGTTTTGGTGAGTTTTCGATGTTTTCTTGAAGATCAAAGACAGTGTACATTGCAGTTGTTTGGTTGTAAGTGACTGGAGCGAGAACAACACTCAACTCAGTGTCCAGCTTATTTAACTTTGCATCCAGAGTATCAGCCATTGCTTTTTTAGCTTTTACATTTCTTATGGGCTTGAATTTTTTCACACCCATTTTTTCCAACTTCTTAGCCTTGATTGGTTTTAATTTTGTCACCAAAGCAGGGTCTTTAAAACACATCAATCTTGACATTTTTCGTCCACCGGTCATCGTCGTTTTACCTTTACTATCAGCTTTCGGACTTTCAAAAATTGTTTCCAGATTACGGCGACTCACCTTAGATTTTCCTCCACGACTGATATATAGTTTTTCTATCGCTTTTTCAGATTTAGTTTTATTTTCTTTAGTATTTTCCTTTTTCTTTCTAGTACGTTTAACGTTCACAGCTTGTTTGCTACTCTCTCCTGTGGAATGCTCAGTAGTTTTACATTCCTTACTAAAGTCTGTTGCTTTCAAACATTTATCAGTATTTGTAGCAGAACCAATATCTTTACACGGTTCACTTTTTATAAATATCACATCATCAGAGTGATGTGTAGTCACAACTTCACTCTCTTGTACAACTATCTTCTCATCATGGTTACATTTTTGAACTTTGGATTCAATCTGATCAACTGATTTCATTTCTACAGTTTGACCATTTGTTTGAGCGTCGCAAAACTTGTGTCCTGGTGTACAAAGGGCAACGTTGGCATTAAGAAAACTGCGTCTTCGCTTTCTCTTTGTTCTGACTTCAGGAACATTATTGTCTACATTAGCTGCAACCTCGCTAAGCGAGGATTCAAAGAAATCACCCGCTTTAGCAGTCTGTTCAAAAATTTCCAAGCCTCCAATTGTATTTTCTGGATGAGCATCATTTTCTGAAACTTTAACTGCAACATCGTTCTTGCTGTCTTCTGAGATTTTTGGTTTCTTCTGACAAACACTCTTCCTTCGGTTTTTCTTCATCTTGTTTACCTGTGTAGTATTATTGCTTTTCGCTTCATTGCTTTTCGCTCCATTGTTTGCAGCATCAGTTTGATCCTCACTTCCAGGCATCTCTGTATGTTTCAGTACTATGGTAGTATCGTCCATGTGAACTTGTGACCAATCACTCCCTTGTTCCAGTACAGTACTACATGCTGCAGCTGTGGATGTATCAGGTTGTATAGAGTCTTTACAAGTTTTCAGGAGACTTTCTTTTCTTCTTCTACTGCTCCTGCCAATCTTGACCTGATTCCCTTCAGGCGCTAAAACCTCTTCTGCCATGTGTTCATCAGACTGTGCATCACATTGTTCTTTACATGGTGACTTGACATGCTCTGAAAACACCTTCTCATCCATATTATCAATTTGTAAAAAATATTCTTCAGATGTACACAAATTATCTGGACACTTATTTTGTGTCTTATTGTTAAGATCAACAAAGGCAGAATTTTCTGATTCGTCATTAACCTCCACAGAATCATCATTTTCTTCTTTTTTCATGGGTGGCAGCAAAATACATCGCCGTGCTCTATTTTCAGACGCTTTTTGTACTGTGTTTTTCGTTGGTTGGACATCATACACATCAGTTTCAGCTGAAAGAAATATCTCAGGAGATTTAACTTTAAAACTATTACCATGCAGAAAAGCACATTCATCATGTTTAGAATGTTCATCTTCCAGACTTTGGCCTGCAGATTCACATTTCTCTCCATCACCACTCGTATTTTGATTCTTTTGTCGTTTGTAACTAGGTAATGACCGAATTTCTTCTGACGCCGCATCATCTATGTTACTGGACACAGATTCCACTGATTTAGCAGATACTTTTTGCTCTCTCTGTTGTTTTGGTTTTGTTACATCAGAATCATTTACAGCCATTTCTTCTGCTTCTGCACCATCAGTATTATCAACAATATTTTTTGATAAAACATCACCACTGTCATTATCCTCATCAACATTCATATCTTCATTTTCTCTGCCATTTATCCCTGCATCACCATCATCTTTATCCTCTTCCAAACTATTATCAGTTGTATACGAGGACGATAGAAAACTTGTGTAAAGTGGCTTATAGACTCCACTACTTCTGCGTTTTTTGTTAGAGAATGCATATGTGGAACTAAACACCGGCTCATCATCATCTAAACATTTATTTGAACATCTAGATTCATCAAGAATTGAAAATTCTTCCTCATCTTCATTATCTACTGACGCATCTTGGTTCACTGTGTCGTCCGTAAATCCTGTTGTGTTTTCCTCGTTACTTTTAGAGGTTTTTTTTTCTGTCCCGTTACTGTTATTGCTATTACTGTTAAACGCAGTAGAACAATCTTGCTCAAGTATATCAACTGATGCTTTCTTCATAGTGCTATTTGCAGACTCTTTTTTAACATCATTGACAATAGACAATTCATTCTCCATCTCTTTTAAATCGCCATTCCTCCTAGAGTCAGTTGAACATTCTAGTATTTTTTTCGTGTCTGTGAAACACTCGTTAACCGAAACTTCACTGTTTGTACATTGAACCAATGAATCAGCAGCAGATTCTCCTTGCACAGACCTAATTTCAGAGGTTTCAGACTTCTGAATTTTTTTAGGTCTTCCACGTACCTTTTTCACATTCGGGACAGTACTTGTGGACAGTTGGTCAGCAGGCTTATATTTTCGTGGCCTACCTCTCTTTTTGATGACCCGTCCTTGTGCTGAATCATTCACAGCTTTCTGTTCAGAGATAGTACTAAGCTGATCAGATGAAGAATTCATTCCAACTGCTCTATCGGAATCTCCTGGTGTGTGTGCATCTTGACCCTTACGCACAGTGGCACAACCCTTTCCTCGCTTTAAGGTGGTGCCATTTGGTGAAGTAGGAATGGCACTGAAAGATCCATCTGGTGACTGAGAAGTGAGACACTCCAAATCATTACTTGGGCTAACAATTGCTGACGAGAAGTCCTCCAATAACCCTGCATACAAATTTGTGTTTAGCTGACTTCTAAATCCACTCACAGAAGGACTCTGATTGTCAGTAGTGGCAGATGACCTCAACAAAATGGAAGAGTTCAGCGGAAGGAAAGTATATGAAGATTGTTTTGCCTCTATACGTTGCAATTGACAGAGCCCACTGTGACGTCTTTTTGACGTAACATTTTGTTTACTGTTACTGGTCTCTTTAGTGGGAGTGTGCATTACTCCTTTACTTGTGCTCACTATGTTTCTATTTTCTGCATGTTGTAATGAACAGCATCGTCCCCTACGCTTTCTGGTCGGAACATCAGCAGAATTGTTAGTGTGTTCCAGAGAGGTGTCCAGTAAACTGCCAGGATTTGCATCAATAGGTAATTTTCCTGAAACATCTCTTGATGATGTTACTTCCCTATTTGGAGCTTTACTCCTTGTTTGTATTGGATGTCTTGGTCTAGTTGGTTTTTGCAGCTTAGCGTTAGGATCTCGTATACTCTTAAGAAATGTTATTTCATCATCAAGGGGCGCAATGCATCCATTTTTGGAGTGTCCTAGCGGTGAAAATTGCTTTCTCGTCTGTGAATATATAATATTGAAATGAAATAAAAAAAAAAAACATCTAAAATAAACAACATCTGATTATCAGCCATGGTTTTCAAAAACTGTGATGCAATAGAAAATTCATCATATTCTCAAAAAATTCAAAATACTCTTACCATCAATTGTTCAGCTTTTGGAGAAGAATTTGGTGTAAGGATCGGATCCCCATGAACCAACGCAACTGTGGTACGACAATCATCATCTCCACCTGTACAAATAATGACAATAATTACTGTACTTCCCTGATCATAAGCCCAGGGGCCTGAACATGTAAAATCAGGAAAATCGAACATGTAAAAACCACCCACGAAAAAATTAACCAAATTATGTCTTTCGTTCACATCGCTGGTCTCCGTGAAATATTACGTCTTTTTGAGGGGGAAAAATGTGAAACGAGTCGTCATTGATTTCCCCAACACTTTTTACAATGAAGAAACAAACAAACTCATAAAAATACACACATTTTATTACAATATGGTTTACATACCATCTGAATTTACGATGGAAAAATGGGTAGGGTCGGTGGGAAAACAGTCAAAAGCAAGATCTTAATCTTTGTTGTGGAATGTTTTTGATCGTACGTAAACTCACAATACTAAGCATTTTCCGCCATGATGTTTTTCACCATCAACTTCCTTTGACCTAACAGGTCACGTCTTTCGTTAACCAATCAAAATGCTGTGTCGTACAGACAAAATAAGAAGTAATTTTCTCAGCACAATGTGGAAGTGAATTACCGCAATGTTAAAATGCGATCTTTTAACACTGATTTCGACAAAAAAAATGATTTTTTTCCCTCTAAAAGCTGTTGATTCACAATTTTCAAAAGGTAAACTGAGGGTGGAGGAAGTATTTAAACCATTCACAGTCGCCAACAAGTCATGTCGAAGAATAGTTTGCTCATTCACACCCCATTCACAATAGTCTCAATGGACATGATTATTCGAAAAAGTTAAACGATGATATATTACCAGGTTTCACGACTTGACAATCACATTTTTTGGCTTTTCGAAAACTAATACTCAAAAGAAATATGAATTACTTCAGTACAGTATTGCAACATCAAGGTTCATCCTGCACTCCGAAATTAATGTGAGTATTCTCATAAAAGCAGGAACCAAACTACTGTACAAATCACGATTCTTATGCAATGAAACACACTTTTTACACGCATATTTTAATAACTGTCATCATCGCCTGGTAAAACCACCCTGGGCCTATACTCGGGGATGCCCTCAACTCGTTTAATGTCTAAAAACAGAGGGGTTGTTTAACAGGCTTTAATTGCTTGAAAATTAAAAAGGGGAAGTCAAGCCAAACAACACAATGACCCTCCAAGAAAAAACTCCACAAATGTAAGAGAATGCAATTTACAGTTTTTTTATATCACTTTTCATTCTCTAGATATTCAACATTTCATCAGTATTATGTAGTCAGCCATCTTGATTCTCAAGCAAAGGATTGTGGGTAAAGTAGTCTGTTGTCAGAAATTGAGAAAATGATTTTAGTTCAAATTTTCGTTGTGCATATTACTCTTGTATATGATAATAGTAATATAAATTAGAATGTTACAAATACACATAAAGCGAAGACATTGTCAAAAACGTAAAAAAAATAAAAATCGCTATTTTCGTTTGCCAAAATTAGAGAATTAAAGATATGGTCATGGGATGAACAAATCTAGTAGATGTCAACACAAGGTACATACACACCAAGTATCAAAGCATTCAGGCTACCGGTTGTGAAGAAGAAGTCGAAAATAGAATTTTTGACCAAAAATTACCATTTTAAAATATTCGCCAAAATTAGTAAATTGAAAACTTCCTTACCAAATTAACAAAACTGATAGAGGACAACCCAAGGCACATGCACTATGAATATCAGCACTGTAGACCACTTCGTGTCATAGTAGCATAGAGGAAATTTTAGAGTTTTGGGGGGCTAATTTGCATAATTTTTGGCAATCTGATTAAAATCTGATGTAGTGTACAGGCTTTAATTATTTTGGCTATAAACTTACGTTATTTTTATTTTTTATTACTTTTGTTATTAATGCCTTAATTTTATTATTTTACTTTGATTTTGATTTTGTGATTTTTTTTTAATTCCGCCCTACCTACATCTGACCCGATGCCTGTGTAACGAGATTTCAACGAGACCCACTATCGACGATTTTAGTCAACGAATCACAGACCTTCTATAGCGCACATGATGACGTCACCGGGCAAACACACTCAAATAAAATGGCGGATTATACCGACATTAGCGACAGAGAATAACACGGCTTTTCGGTAAGTTTATCATTGTCAAATACAACGAAAGTCATTTTTATGTTAATATTGTGGCTCAAATGGTTCGAGTTTAGATGGTTATTTTGCGTAGTTATTCTGGGAGTGACGATTTTGTTTATACTGAACACCGGTGTCTTTTTCGCTTGCCCTGGAGACTGGTGATGTTTTGTTGACGGTTGGACCAAAATCGTCTACGGTATTGAAGCCGTAGCTGTAAATATTCATCAAAGTGTATCAACATTTTGTACATTATACAATAACTCTTTATTAAAGTAATTGAGCTAATTTGGGCTGGAATAAAATTTTTTAACACATTGCAATTGATCAGGAAATATTTTTTTGCTCCAATTTTCTGCGTCGATGCCGTGGGCCGGTGACCGTTATACAGTGTTTTAATCCTTACGATTTACTTATTTTTTTGCTTCCATTCTAGATAATTATGCTCAGTGTTGATGTAAAAATTGAAGCGATGACTGAATGAACGAAGCTTGGCTGGGGAAGATGTATCTGGAAGTGTACACATTTGTTGGAAGTGAAAAAAATATTCAATGTTATGACAAAAATTGTAAAATGCTGTGGAATTTCTTTTGTAAATAAAAATATACTAGCAATTTTCTATTAATGGTTTATTCAAGTGGGCAAAATATGATGTACAGAAAGATTGCCCGTAGAGTATCGCTACACTGAAAAGTAAGCAACCGACAGGCTGTATAAAAGGGGAGCTGTGATTGGCTGCTACTTACACTAGATTTGACCGAGACTTACATAGGCGTCGGATCAGATGTATGTAGGGCAGAATTAAAAAAAAACACAAAATCAAAGTAAAATAATAATAAAAAGGCACAAAAGTAATAAAAAATAAAATTAAAATAAGTTTATAGCCAAAACAAGCCATGCATGGCACACTCCCCGATAGTTATCAAATTTAAGATATAAAGTTTTGTTTATAGTAATATAGCTTGAATATAATAAACATGTCAGGAATATGATTTGTTTAACATTTAAATGATTGACATTTGTATCTGATCGTCAAATGAGTATTGAGAGATATTGCTCTGGAACAGCATTAATTAAAACAATATCAGCCATTATGAATATATTTATAATGAATATATGAAATTTGAACATAGTCAGTCAAAGCATGTCAGAGATATGGCTCTAGAAGCCCATTCATTAAAACAAAATGGTCACTGGTCAGACATTCAGAATCCGATCTAAAAAATAAAACAAGTTTTTTAGCACAAAAATAGCCATTATTAGGCCACTTTGAAAAGGATCGTCAAACCAATATATCCGTATATCTGTGA